GGCTTACTCATCTCATTGTGGGTAAGCTAAACTATAAGTCCTTAAAGTACCATAAGTGACCTAGAGCGACTCAGCTTAAGGTGATGAAGGACTCAGTCGATTTGCTTACGATGATATCATGAGTAGATACGAAGAGTAACTTGGTTTCGATTAATCTCATGAGATAACATTATTGTTTGGACTTTAATTTCGTATGAAAGTGGAATGAATCAATATCAATGTCGTATAAAAGCCAAACGGCTGCAATACAACGGGATTCAACCGTCTTCTGGTGAAATCGATCTTCGAATTTATTCTTAATGCACTTTCATACGAAATGAAAGTCCCAACAATGATGATATGAGTAGGCCTCAGTGCGATTAAATTTCACTTATTTTTGTTTTTAAGAGGTATTATCATCCATTGCTAGAATCCACATTTTTTCATTTTTGACATGTTTTTTATAGGCCCACTGTCGCGAATGGCAATGAGAAAAAAACCATAAATGCAACGCCATTGATTTTTGACCGTCTAATTAAAAAGGTCTAACTAGCAATTTATTATTACTTAAAAGACTATATGACATTAAAAACAAAAATTTAAGGTAGAATGTCTTTAGAAGAATCTCTAAAAAGACCTAAAGCCGATAGATTATATTAAGGACATATTATTATTGTATGAAAAGTGGGTTTCGAAGATTCCCTTAATAGATTGACTTTGGAGTACCCTTTATTTCGTTTGAGGAGGCGAGTGAAAGGGGTTCACCGGAGACTGTAGGAGGATTGCTTTAGAGCTGTGGTTGTAGATTTGTGCGAATAGGTCCTCGGAGCACCGCCCTACGACCACGATGAATCCTTGCTGAGCTTTCGTCCGTCATATGACGGACATCTTCAGAGCAGGACAACATGGTTCACGATAATTCAACAAAACATGAATGCAAGAAAGGGGGTCGCCTTCAAACTTACTTCCTTCTTATATTCCAATTTGGTCCACTTAGGCATCTTATGTTTTGGTTGTATGTCCTATGCTTTGTCTTTATATTTGCTCATACTTTAAGTTAAGTGGCTGCGGATGACATGTGAAGTGGATACAGATGAAGCGTGAAATGGGTACAATTAAAACCGAACTACTGCATCTTCCCCTAAAACATTTATGCCTTTGATCCTGTAATGTTACCGCATGTGATTGCGTCTCATTGCACACTTTTTGTGTGAGTGCATTGCTCTATAAATGAGTGTGATCTGAGTCAAAACCAGATTCCAGCCTAATCAAACCTCATTCTCTCCCTCGCTGGTACTTCTTGTTCCCCCCTCTCTAAACCTATCCAACAGCCACAAGTAGTTTCCTCTTAACTTCCTACACTCATTCCTTCTATTCAGGGTGTTGGCTGTTTTAGTGATTTTTTATCGCTTTCATATTCTTTCGCTTACTGATATAGTTTCCATGTCCAGCTAAACGTTCGGCATTAGACCAATCTATCTGATGTACTATGCGAGCTGTGTTCGGCCAATATCGATTTTTGGACCCATATACTCTTGCAGGCTGTTTTATGTTCGGATAACCTCTTAAGTATGGGTCTACAGGTCTATCCCACAAAATCTTGTAACCGCTCGATCTAGAAAGCGGATCAAAGTATTCTTGAGAAGAAGGCAATACTCAGAAAAGTGTTATTTTCTCTTTATAAATGGTCCTGACGTTTCACCTTCTCAATAATTTGTCTATCTTCGACAGATTACACGATGACAGTATAAGGACCCTGGTAGAGTTATCTATATTTTTATCTAGCCCCAAATATGTATTTTCCCTTATTATATTTGATAATATTCCAAAATAGTTGTCAACCAGTCCTCCTGGATAATTATTCTCAACCAGAATTCGCTTTAGTCTCCTCAGTTCCTGGTTCAGATGTTTAACATCTGCCAGATCCAGGCTCCTTATTTTTATAGACTATAACTCCTACATTAACTAGTAATTGTTATGATTCTCCTCATCAGACAGTGGACTTGGTACATTCTCAAACGTTTCGCCGGCATCATAGTCGGCATCATCAGTGAGATTTGTCATTCTCAGCACCAAGCTACTAACTCATCAAAGATAAGTGAAGTCAGTCCTTTGACAAACTTTCTGTCCTGGCCTATATATCTACTCTTTACCCTCTTATCCCACTGCCGCCCTATCACAACTTATGACTTGTTTACATTCCATTTGGCAAAATGTGTGCACTTGTGGCAATTCTAGTGTGGCCTCATCACACTTGCTATTCACCCGAACCCCTCTCTTTCGATCGGCTGATCAGACTCGGACCTCCAATCCGGATCCCCTCATTGTCTCTTAGATTCTTTCCTTAACTTTCTGGTTGATCAATTTCACTCGGTTCCAGTGTTATTTCCTTTATTATTTTGCATGCTAGACATTTCATTTGTCTGTAAACTTGCAAAGGACAAAATTCTACACTATATCTTTCCTTCTTTATTTGCTATGAAGACATTATCATTCTTAATGTAGTGGATTTTTTCGAACCCCTCACCTTATTATTTATTCACAGGATGTAGAAGAGTCTATGTCAATGCTCCGCGACCGGGATCAAATTGTTCAGTTGACCGCTGACAATCGTTCTCGTCTCCTTGATGTTCTTGAGCATGTGGCATCGAAAACACAGTTGGATAAAGCGATTGTGCGCACACTCACAACAGCTGATCTTATCTCCGCCGGTGGCGTGGACCGTTGCGCAGCTGCAGCACACCAGCTAGATGCTATAATGGGGATCAAGCCGCTGGAAGGTTTGCTATTTGAAATACAATTTAAACTTATTTATAATTTGACTTAATTTGTCATACAGGCTAATTGTTTTTCCGTCGCTATTCCTTATCGTAAGCTTCTAATAAGAGCTGTTTTCACCCTAGGTTGCTTGAAGTAATGAAGGACTGGCTGTTTAATTTTATCACAATGATACTAGTGGGCTTTACAATGCTAATGAATTTCACCAAACCTCGCTCCAAAAGGCATTCTCATACAGGGTAGACTGTAGTTTTTACCTTGCTCGCATCTCATTAGCATTCCTAACAGGAATCGAACACGAGAAGTCTTGCACATAATTTCGACAGGTTACTTTTGCGCCACACTGCCATTAGTGCCAGTGAACTATAGGGCAGAAATGAAATTTAAGGTAAGCCAGACTATTCAGATAAAACAATAATAGTGCGGTTGTCGGTGAGGCAAAGTTATATTTTTCCATTACATTCGACTATGATACTGATATTTATTACATAGTCTTTTCTAGTGATAAAATACGACTGCTTCATTGACAATCATAGTATAAATTTCACATTGGAAATGTTTAAATAGCCTTGAAATTTTACTTTGCCTATTTCTCAGTGACACATTTATCATTGGCGTAATGGTAATGTTGTAAGTATAAGATTCCCGTTATAGGTGGTGACGAGACTCAGGCAATTTCGAAACTCCTTGGATAAGAATACTTTTTGGAAAGCAAAGTTAAATGGCATTATAATGCCTATTCGTATTATTGTGAGAAGGTTCAAGTATTGGTTCTTGAGTACCTTATGTGGTCTAGGGTGACTGCAGCTTATATTCAACATCAACCGACAGTTAGGGACCTATTCATAATAAATAAAAGTCTCGAACTTACCATTGATTTTGGTCTGACTAGGGCAGATTTTAAACTAGCATTCTTTGTCCAGATACTTTCCATGTTGCCGGTATCATTGACGTTTTTCGTTTATAAGCAGAGCTTCGAGACTACCAGTAAATTAGCTACATGAGATGTATTCACCCATTTTGGTTTAAAGTGATGAAGGACTGGTAGTTGATTTTCCCCACAACGATATGAGTAGTGCTACGCTTCCATTAAAATATTATTGCTTTATATTATATTAATATTATTGCTTTCCAAAAAGTTGGTCTCATTCAGGGTGGACTGCAGTTTTGACCTCACTATGTCTTATCAAAACCCCCAGCGGGAGTCGAACGATGTCAGTGGAGCGTGTAAGGTCGACACGTTAACCACTACGTCATATTGCCACGGGTGCATTTTGGGCACAGGACAGATGTGAATTTAAAGGAAGCCCAGGTATTTTCCCATATCATATTCTTTGGTGGAAGTGTCGGTAAAGCAAAGTTATATTTGCTATGACAATCGACTACATTACTTATTTTTCGTTTATAAGCAGAGTTTCGAGACTACCAGGGAATCAGTCATATGAGAAGTATTCACCCAGTTTCGTTTAAGATGATGAAAGACTGGTAGTAGAATTTTCCCACAATGATATGAGTAGAGCCGACGTTTCCATTGAATTTCACATAGCCTTGCTTTCCCAAAAGTTGCTCTCATCCAAGATGGACTGCAGTTTCGACCTCGAATCGGTCTTATCAACACCCCCAGCAAATATACATTTGCTTGACCGACAATCCCACCAAAGAATGTGACATGAAAATGGTGCTTATAATATCATTTATTTGCAGGGAATTTCATTGTGTTTGTCAAATATTTATTATTTACTATTCGTGATTAGTTTATCACATTTATTTTAATAGCCTTGTGACTGGCCTGATTATGAGTTTAAAACAAATTATTTTATCATGATTGAATTCCATTGTAAGCTATGCACGGGTTATTTTACAGGAAGTTCTATACAGCAGTTGTAATAAATATTAATACCCTTTATATTAAATATTATTGTTTTAGGCTGAGGGCATTTTAATAAAGTAACCCGTGAAACCCAATTTCTAGCATTCATACAATTAGTGGCTGTCTTGTTTTTTATATGGCAGATTAGAAATTGTTTGACGTTATTTTAGCAACTTGATCAGGAAGACGTAGAGGAACGAATCTTGTCCCAGTCCATAGTAGGTATTATAATTTTCAGAGTCGGACCTTTGAATAGGTACATTCTCAGGCGTTTCGCTATTCACACTCTCCATGGTTTTTTGGCATCAAATGCTTCTTATTGTCGAGGAATCAAGACATAAAACATGATTAAAAGAGCATTGAGAGGATATACAAGAAGCCATGCTGACGCAAAACCCCCA